TATATATATATATATATATATATATATATATATATATATATATATATATATATCCCTTAATGTATACATTAAGGAATCATAAAGTTAGCATTATGGTCCCTTTCTACTATCTGTACTAGACCCGACTGTTCCGTTAGTCGTTTGTAAAATATAAGTATTGTAGTATAGTATAAAGTGACTACTATTGTACTAATTGCCTTAAATTGAGTATTAAGGTATAATGTGATGGCTAGATCCCATACTAGATGCTCTCCCTGTCAAAAGATTCTAGGAACCAAACGTGACCCCTGCAATGATTGCAAGCCGTGAACATCCACATTATGATTATATGATCAAGTATACCCAATATAACTATCACCTTTTGTGTAACGACCCAAAAATCATGACTAAAAATTTCTTTTAGAACATTACTAAAATCGTATTTATAAAAACCATATCATCAGTCGTAACATAATTTCCAAGTATTAATTCAAAACATAATCTTATTATCAGAGTAAAACATTCCCAGGCTAACTGACTATGGTGTGTGCACTGCAACCTCTCTGAGCTCCTCTTTTGAAAACTGAGTACCTGAAACCAAAAAATGAAACCATAAGTATGAAGCTTAGTGAGCTCCCCCAAACTACCACATACCATACAATAACATATAAAGCACATACTGGGCCTTGCTCACTGCATCTGACCGAAATCCAAAAACTGCATCGGACCGAAGTCCGGAAACTGCATCAGACCAAAGTCCGGAACTAACTACATCGGACTGAAGTCTGGAACCAACTGCATCAGACCGAAATCCAGAACTGACTGGGACCTTCTCCCCTGCATCAGACCGAATTCTAGAAACTGACTGAGCATAACATAGCATAGCATAAACATATCATCTAGGATAAGCACATATACTGCATACTGCATCGGACCGAAGTCCAGAACACATAACACAAAACATGCTTGAATCACAAAGACATCAAACAATGTAACTATTGCATCGTACCCGATGTTCGGAGCTACTGCTAACTAAACGGGCCGACATTGTGGCCGTAGACGCGTTCCTACTGGAAGGAAGACTCACTTGAACTGCTGAGCTCTGCTAACAACCGCCTAGTTGCTAACTAACAACCCTCTGAGGCACTACTCCTCTAGGTATCTGTGCTACCAATATCAATATAACACTTAGTCTGACAGTCCTCTAAAAGTCAACTAAGTCACCTCCTGTCAAAGTCAAAGTCCTGGTCAAAGTCAACCTTCCAGGTTGACCCTACTCGCCGAGTCAGCCTACTAACTCACGGAGTTCATAAGCTCAGAAACCCATTTCATCCGCGACTCAACTTGGGAATCAGACCATGACTCGCTGAGTCTACTTATTTCCGAGTTCTGTCCTGTCCAACTCACTGAGTCTCCACTCAACTCACTGATCCGAGTCTTAACTAAAAGGGTTTGGGGTTTTGCGACCAGACTCGCTGAGTCCAAGGATAGACTCTCCGAGTCTAAGGCAATCTTCAACAGACTCGCCGAGTTGTTCTTCCAACTCGTCGAGTTCCTGCCTATCTTCATCTAAGTTGCCGAGTCCACCCATGTGACTCGCTGAGTTACTACGCGATTTAAGTCTTGTATCTAGCCCGACTCGCCGAGTCCTCTCCCAGACTCGTGTACTCCTTATGTGTATTCTCATAATCTCGAGTCACAAAACTACTCCTTTGCTCCAAACAATAGATATGGGTTCCTAGAGTCCATTAGCAACATAAAGTTTCTATCTTTCGTGCTTCTTGTTTGGCAATACCAAAAACCAAGCTAGAAAGGAACTTAACTCATGGGGAATGGCTTTTGTATAGAAACTAACATAGCTTTCTGCATCTTTGATCCAAATAGAGCTCAGATATAGAGTTTCAACTCCAGATCTAACTTGTGCACCAACTTCTTATTACATACTCTCAAAGAAACCCTAAAACTCCATGAAAGATATATCTAGAAAGGAGAAAGCCAAGGATAACGATTTATTACCTCCAAATGCTATAAAAACTTCCATCAACTCTGGATCCAAGGCCTCCTCTTGCACCACTATGAATCTCTTCTCTACCAAGCTTTAAATTACTTCACCAAGGGTAGATCTTGCTCCAAAACGGTTATGGTGGCTAGGGTTTGGGATTCTTGACTATAGGGGCCGCAAATGAGCCCTAGGGAAGAGAATAAGATGCTTAAATAGGGTACCAAGTCCCTGAATTAGGGTTTCCCAACCCAGACCAGACACAGAACCCGCTCCGACTCGTCGAGTTCTTCCTTGGACTCGACGAGTCGACCCCTTAAACTATGGTTTTCTTTTCTTTTCTTGGCCTTTCTGGTTTCGGGTGTTACATTTTGTTTATAACGATGCGTTAGTGATTTATTGGTATAGTTAGATCCTGTAATTGTTCCATGCTATAGCACCTTATTATGTTTGTTCTGTTATCGTGTATTGTATCTTCCTCTCTGTTTCTCTTTATTGTGTGTTCTTTTATGTTATCGTGTGTTGTATGTAGTATGAATTGACTCTCTAAACTATACCCATTATAGTTTACTAGTATTCTACTTGAACTGTTATTTAAAAAACTCATTTTACGACCAAGTTATGCTTGTACTTTAAAAACGGAGTTTTCTTAAACTATAAAGCAACATAACTGTAAAATAGTTTTGAAAGGTTTTGACCACTTATAGAAGACATAAGCAACATTTTGAACAATGTTTATAACAAATAATTACACAATTATCATTGTGTTCAACTTGTATTCCCCCCCCCCCCCCCCCCCCCGTAAAAGCATTTAAAATAGTTAAAAGATTCATTACGGGTTATGAACTCACCTGATGTGGGTGATTCAAACGGTTGTGCGTGTAAGGATGAGAAGTTCCAAGAATGAAGTCCCAAGACACAACAAGTCCTAAATGATATATAATGACACATATTGGCATGAATATAGTGTTTATAGGCAACTATATGAAAGGAAACACCTTTCGGGACTAGGAAACACTTTGGCCAAGTGTTGGAATCACATGTGATTCAACAAAGGAAGGTAGATGACACCAACATGAGTTTACTACCATGGTTTTACAGCCCAAGGGAGTTTTTGGCCGTAAACTCATGGTCAAACATGGCTAAGAGTGAGTTTGAAGGCTAGGGAGGCTTTAGGGACGTTATTTCTATACTTGTATGAGAAAGACCACCTCAAATGAGGTTTTTGATGAGTTTGCGGCCCCAAGGGGTTTACGATCATAAACTCATTGTCATGATGGATTTTAGTGACATTTAAGGTCCTTCAATCATCAAGGAAGGGTTTTTGGTCACTTGCCTTGCATCCAATAGGGTTTATAGTCCAAATGGCAACTTAAAAGGGGTTTACGGCCTTGGGAGATGGCCTGGCCATAAACTCTATTTGATCTTATGGTCTTGATGATTTTAAGTGTCTAAACATGAATCCTAACTAGATATGAAGTATAGTGAAGAACACTTACGATCTAGAAGCTTGAAATGGTTGATATTGGCCAAGAACACTAGTGTGTGTTCTTGGTGTTCTTGGTGAAACTTGAAGATCTAAACAAACATGATTTCCATGGATGAAATCAATGTATGTAGCTATTTAATAAGATGTATTATATGGGTGAGAGTTTGCAGCCAACATGAGTTTACGACTGTAAACTCCATGTTTATGCCCGTAAACTCCATCTTATGGATTTTAGGGCATGCATTTGGTACTGTGGCTTTGCATCGGTGCATTGACTGTTTTGGCAGATTTCATGGGAGCCATTGATTCAAGCACTGGGATTTTACTTGCCGTCACAATCATCTTCCAATACTTTGAGTTCATGTTGTTGAGATTTAATTTTGGATCAAACCCAGCAGGTTCTTTTGGCGTAACTCTGCTTTGCTTGGGATTTGGACAACCTATCAAAGTTAATTGGGTATATGTCACTGGACAAAGGGAGGACACATCAAGTATAGGACTTGATACCCTTTTTGGAAATAATTTATATACTCATATGCTTTTCTACCTTCTTTCCTCATGACATTATTACTTTCTTACTTTCCAAGTCATTATAACATATTTGTTGGTGATCTTAGCCCTAAGGTTACAGAAGCTATGTTGTATTCATGCTTCTCTGTCTACTCTAGCTATTCGTGAGTACATGTTTCATCTCTCTGTACATATATATATATATATATATATATATATATATATACATATCTACATCCATTTACACATATATGTACTTTTTTTTTGCTTCATTAAAGGGATTTGTTATGCATCTCTTCCATAATTGTACCCTTACTAATGTTATTAGAAACAAAGTAAGTTAAAATTAAAAACTAATTGATAAATTTTATTCTTGTTGTAGGTGTGTCATTTTATTTAATTATTTGATGCAAACTGGTGATGTGAAATACAATACAACTAATGTTTGTCTCACACAACAAACAATAAGTGCATCGCCATCACCACAATTAAAATATTTCAAAGTCTGGAAGGTTTAAATATAATAACCAATATTCACATTTTTTCTTTTGTATATTATTGTAAATTTATTATTAATCACTTATTTCAAAATGGAATAATATAAGTGAGATAAACGGATGCAGGAGAATATTGTGTTGATATTGTGTTGTAACTTTGATTTGTAGATGAGATGAGGGAATATTTCTTGTCTTATGGCGTTAGAATAGGAAAAGAAAGCTCAAGCTGAAAGAGCTAAGATGCTGCAAATGCAAGTGTTGCATTCTTCATTTGAATTGTTAGTTGTACTACTAATGATGGAAGCTGCTAAATAAAGGAAATGGAAGAAGTCGCGTGTAATAGATTTTTTGTATGAAACAATGAATAGATTAGATGAATGTAGATTTATATATTGTAACAAATAGAATTGTATGACATAAAATTTTATGTAATGGATTGTAATTTTTGCATATGGTATTTTATTTCTATTATTAGTCATTAAATGCAAATTTAATTTAAAAATTAATAAATATATAAATATATATTTTTTAAACATTTAAATTTACGATACGCAAAAATATGTGTCATCTTCATTTATGACATGGCCTTTCTTGATATGTTTTATAATGATACACATTTTGCATCATAAATGTGTGTCGTCTGTAGACGACGCGCAAAAGCGTGTCGTCTCTCGTTATGAAGGGCCTTCCTTGATGCGTATTTGCTTGCCATCTAAGCGTTTACGACATGCATTGCACATCGTAAAAGGTTGTTTTTATAGTTGTGTATGAGTATTACTATCCATATGAACTTAACACAGTCTTGTCTCAAATGTTCCACAAGAAAGCAAGACAATAGTGTTATGAAGTGGTCAAGCCCTCGATGGCATTCAAACTAAAAGAAAGGGAATATGTGGGCGCTCATGTGAAGAAAATGCAAAGGCATGTGGATAGATTGGAAAAGCTTAATGTGAACTTTGATAAGGACCTTTCCATTGACATGGTCCTCAAATCACTGCCCAGTATTTATGATCAATTCATATTAAACTATCATTTCAACAGTATAGATACGACATTGATTGAGCTTCACGGTCTATTCTAAAAAGTTGAAGCAGGAATGAAGAAGTCTCATTCCAATAACTCTACAAGCGCCCCTGTCATGGATGTCCAACAAAGAAAAGGAAAGAAGTGAAAGGCCCCTAACCCCATCCAAATGGAAAGGGAAGGCTTTTCATGGAGAGCCTAGTCGAACAAAAGCAAAGCCCAACATCAACAGCCCTCCTATTTCTGATCCAAAGACATTTGTGTGCTTTCATTGTGGCTAAAAGGGCTATTCGAGAAGCAGCTGCCCTAAGTACTTGCAATAAGTGAAAGATGCCAAGGCCAAAGTAGTTGGATCTTCTTCTAGTAAGTATTCTATTCAAGTCAATAATACTAATATTTAAAATTCTTGGGTTCTTGATACAAGATGTGATTTCAACATTTGATATGAGGTCGAGCATGGGAAGCTAAACCTAATCTTGGGGAACAATCAAAGATCAGTTGTTACTAATATTGGGACTTGTAAAATTATGCTTCATATTATTAGGGTTGATTTGAATAATTGTTGCTACTTTGCATAAATGGATCGAAACATTATTTCTTTTCATGGTTTATTTAGAAAAGGATATCGTTCCAATTTTGATAATAATGATGGTACTATTTTAGTTTATTTTAATGGTGTGTTTATTTTCAAATCTTATCCTTGTGATGGCGTGTTTAAAAATAATGTTTGTACGAATTAATTAGGCAAAAATGTATATAATATTGATTCTTGTAATAATTTAGAGAAGCCATGCCTATGGAATTGTCGTCTTGGGCACCTCAACAAGAAACACATCGCCAAACTCCAAAAGGATGGGGTGTTGGAGTTGTTTGATCTAACCCCAGACAATGAATGCGAGTCTTGTTTGTTGGGCAAGATGATTAAATCACCTTTCACTAGCACATGTGAAAGAGGTGAATATTTGTTGTCCCTAATCCATACGTATGTGTGTGGACCATTCAGATCTGCCACAAAGGATACAAATCATTACTACGTTACATTTACTAATGATTAAAGTAGATATTGTTATATTTACTTGATCAAACATAAATCGAAAACATTCGAAAGGTTCAAAGCGTTTAAGAACGAAGTATAGAACCACTTGGGAAAAAAGATAAATATGTTATGATATAATATAGGTGGTGAGTATCATAGTATCAAGTTTAATGACTATCTGAAGGCATGTGGAATTGTTGAACGATTAACACCTCCTAGGACACCACAATTGAATGGTGTAGATGAGAGATGTAATTAGACCCTAGGTGATATGGTTTGCTTCATGGTGAGTCAAGCTTCACTTCCAATATCATTTTAGGGGCATGCCTTAGAACAACCGCCCATATCCTTAATCTTGTTCTAACTAAGAAAGTTGTTAAAACACCTCAAGAAATGTGGATAGGGAGACCTCCCTCCATCATGTATATCAAGGTTTGGGGTTATAAGGTTCTTGTCATGCTAAAAAACTCAGACAAACACAAACCCAAATCCAAGAAGTGTTTTATAATAGGTTATCCACAAAAATCCTTTGGATACTTGTTTTATACACCTAGTGACAACGTGGTGTTTGTAGCTAGAATATGAGTCTTTCACAAGAAAAAGATCTTTTCCATAGAGAGCAGTGGGAGCATGATTGATCTTGAATAGATTCAAGAGTAATTCGATGACGAAAATTTTGAATATACTAGCTCTCAACCTAAGAATGAAATTTTTGTGCCCATTGACAACTCGTCACCCCTTCATCGGTCCGTTAGGATTACCATGCCACCTTCATTCTACGGTGTTTATATAACTACAAAAGGTGATACATTTATTGGTGATGCAAAACTGGTAAATGTGGATGAGCCTGCTAACTACAAGGTAATGGAAATAGTCAATGGATATTGAGATCCAATCCATCAATGATAACTAAGTGTGGACCTTGGTTGATCAAGCATATGGTCGAAAGATGGTGAGGTGTAAATGAATCTTCACTAAGAAGACTGTTAGGAATGATAATTTACAAACTTACAAATTAGGTTGGTTGTAAAAGGTTTTACTCAAAACCAAGGGATTAACTATGATGGCACTTTTTCACCAGTTTCCAAGATTAAGTCAATTAGGGTAATGCTTTCCATAGTTGCTCACTATGACTATAGAATATTGAAAATAGATTTCAAAACTTCTTTTGTTAATAGAAAACTAGCTGAGGATGTTTACAAGGCTTAACCAAAGGGTTTTGTGCATACAAAATTTCCTAACAAGGTGTGTAAGCTTGAGATTTCCATCTATGGACTGAAAACAAGCATCTCGTAGCTAGAATCTTTGATTTCATGAAAATGTCAAATAGTTTGGATTTTCTAGAAGTGAATATGAATCTTGCGTTTATGTCAAAGCTAGTGGGAGCATTATAACTTTTCTAGTTTTTTATGTGGATGACATACTCCTGATTGGAAACAGAGTTCCTACCTTGCAAAATCTCAAGTCTTGGCTTGGGAAAAAAAATTCTATGAAGGATCTAGGAGAAGCGACATATATTCTTGGTATAAGAATATACACATGAATAGGTAGGAACGATTATTAGGATTAAGTCAAAGTGCATACTTGGATAAAATATTCAAAAGATTTAATAAGGAAAATTCAGTGAAGGGAGACTTACCCATGCATCATATTAATAAGCTGAGCAAGGCTTAATGTCCTGGTAGTGATAAAGAGATGAAATACTATGAGTCGTACTCTGTATGCTTCGGCTATAGGATCTGTCATGTATATTATGACATATACTCGACCTGTTGTGGCTTATGATTTTATCATGGTTAACAGATATCAAGGATATCCTAGTTTAGCTCATTGGACGGTAACGAGTAACATCCTTAAGTATTTTCAAAAAACAATAGATGTGACCTTAGATTTTGATGGCAAATATGAAATTAAGGTGAGTGAATATAGTGGCAATAGTTTTCAAATAGATCAAGATAACAATTGTCATCAATATGGCTGGGATTTGCTATTAAATGATACAACAATAACATGGAAAAATTCCAAGCAACAAATGGTGGCTGATCCTACTAGTGAATCATAGTATATCGTAGCAAGCGTAGCAGAGAAGGAGGCTATGTGGTTAAAGAATTTTATTGGGGATGATGGAGTTGTACCATCAATCCAAGAACCAGTGGTGATCTTCTGCGACAACGAGGGTGCGATATATTTGACAAAAGAACTTAAAGATCACGGTAGATCAAGGTATGTCGAGAGGAAATATCACTATATTATACATAAGGTTGAAGAGGGTGCACTCATGGTAAATCGTGTATCGTTGGAAGAGAATCCTGTTGATCCTCTCATGAAGGGTCTAAGCAAGGTCAAGCGCTTTAGCATGCTAGGAGTATTGGACTAAGAGACGATATTAGATTTTAGATTTTAGTGTTGATGTTTATTTAAAACTATACAGCGATTAAAATTGTAATTGAATAATGATTTATTAAATAGAGACTTTTTTATATTTAATGTGTATGA